CGCCGCCTCTACCTCGCCTGCAGCTCCGCTCTACCTCGCCTGCATCGAGCTTGCCCGCTCTTCGTCGATGACCTTGTCTGATCTCGAGGTTTGGTCTTCACACACAAATCCAACATGTATTGTCCCCTACATTCCGCATAAGGAACTTGGATTAAATCCCGCCAAATATTGAGAAATTGTGCTTGTATGAAAGGGCTTTTTTTATCTTTTCGTATGCAAAGTTAAGCTTTGTCAACACTTTCATATTGGTTATCAAACTCAGGGTTATCCTTGTGGATACTAAACCTCAGGGTGATGAGGTGATCCATAAAGTTACATCATATTACAAAGCACTGGAATGTAATTAATCCATTAAAGTATCATCCTCAATAAAACTATAGCAAATATGCTAATTAACTTCATAAATTATTGGTAATCTATGGATTGCATCAAAATCTACTCTTCACTCTTCTAACAACTTTCCTGACACATTCTCGGTCTCCAATGAGCCACAGAAATCCAGAAATTCACTTACGTGTCCTTCTCACCAATTAATTAATTTATTTATAAGCCCCATAAAAATATATATTTAACTCAGAAGCCGAAAAGAATGGTAGCCACGAACGTCTCTATTAAATAAGGCCCATGGGCCCAGTTTTATGGACAATGGAGTTTGGGCGGTTAAGAGTGAGGTATCCATTTTGATTAGAATTTCATCGGGATTTTCTTTGCAATTATTTTTTGCATCTTTCGCACTTATTTGGTCGGTAGTTTTTTGGTAGGCTCGTGGCCAACAAATGGGAGGTCCATTACTGAGTTGTCTCATATTATCGGCAACCTTTTGTTTAAGGTGTTGGTGTAAGCATGATTTTGATCACATTAATTAGTTTAATTCTTAGTCAAGTATTAGGAAATAGTTAGAGATGTTAAATTAACTAATAAAAGACCTACCACAGTATGATATTATCAAATCCTCTTTGATTAGATGATAATCGAGAAAGTTTTGTCATTTATGCTAGTTTCAAAGAGAAGTATTGTGCTGTCTAGAATTTTTATCTTTATCAAAGTACCATGATGGTTTACATGAAAATTTCTAAAAAGTAAAACACAAATCCTCCTTTCTTAAGCCCTCCAATAGGAATGGTAAACATGATGAGCGCTCAAATAATAACATAATATAAGTAAATATATAATATATATATATATATATATATATATATATATATATTATATATATATATTATAATTCTATGATATATATGATTATATATTAATATTTATACTCTCTATAGTTACTATATATATATATACTTTATATATATAATATATAAATATGTATGCGCATTAAATGGGCTATCCTTGGTCATAGGGGGGGATTGTAGCCTCCGTACTGACGCCTGCTAATCACATGAATCTTTGAGCGACATTATGGATGATCCGCTCCGTTAGAACTTGATCACATATTCTAAAACTCCAACACACCAAGATTTGGTGAACCGTCGTCGTTTGACCCTCCATCGAGCCATGTAAAAAGTTCTATTCATTCAAAACCGTTAAAATTGATACGAGTGGATGAAGGGTCAAACGACGACGGGTTCACCCCACATTTGGTGTGTTGGGGTTTTAGAATATGTAGATCAAGTTCAACGGAGCGGATCATTCATAATGTCGCTCAATCATGTGATTTTAGAGACGTCATAGGAGGAAATCCCCTCCTATGACAAGGATACCCATTACTGAGGTGTCAATCAAGACACTCTTTGATGAGAAGCAGAAAGACGGAGAGTCAGTCGATACCTTCGTCAAGCGCTTTCGGAACAAAGCTATGAACTGAAATTCCTCCAAACATACCACATGTTAGTGGGAAGTATAATGTTGTCCTCTAACTTTTATCCAAGTGCTTGACATGGGATTCAAGGTAAGGTTCATAGGTGTGATATTTAGACTTGTGAATTATTTTACAGTGCTAACTTGTGGATCATCTCATTTTTCCTTTTAATCTCTGATGATGACATATATATATAAATAACAGCTATTGCTACTCTTTTGATATTATATCAGTTATATGTTAGATTGCTTTCAACACGATGCTTTCATTTATTTAATTGATCTATTTCTTGGTCAAAATTTTAATTATGTGTGGTTTTAGAAATTAAACTTGAAAATGAAAGATGGGAGTTCTTTATTTGACACCTAATTGGTGAATTTCTTTTCCACATTTTTTTATTTCTAGAAAATATCCTATTTTACCATTAATTATAATCTTATTTACCAATATTAACAATTGTATTTTTGAAAACTTTTTTTTATAGATTGAAAACTATTATTGTGATCGATAGTGAAAATCATATGTGTAATCCTTGTCGTTGCAATTAAGATAACTATCAAATGTTATCATAATTTGACTCTCTCTCATTAACATCTAAAGAAAGAAAACCTTGATTCGATATAACTACCGCAGGTTCCGATTAAATGATGAGCATGTTGTAAATTTTGATACATTTAAGTGCAAACAACCCCTTTTTCATTAAAGGAGTCCATTTACTAAAAAAGCATAATCATGATGCTTTCTTCCGAATTCTTTATAAAACATGGACTTTCTAGGTGAAAACTAATGTACAGAGCCCCCCGCACCCCCCCGCAATTTGTCATAGTCAACATTACTGAGGGCAATTATGTAAAATACACCGTGCAAAAAAAATATCCGTTGCGGTCTCTTGAAGCGACTTCCAACCTTTTTCACCGCTATTCGCTATTTACGAGTCCAAAGTGACCTCCACCCGAGCTGTCCCTTTACATAACGGTCATCTCTTTTATGTAATTACCAAGTTGCCCTCAGAATTTCATTGTGCAATTAATTTCATATTTCAATTATTTTTTCAGCTTTTGTTTTCAAATTCAAAATTTCCTAATTTTCTTCTTCTTCTTCTTTTTTGTGTGCGCGCGCGCATAGGATTCATGGTCCCTAGCATATAATCGAAAACCTTTTATCACTTTCAAATTGAAACATATAAAGACTACAAAAAGTTTATTGCCAACTTTCTTTTGATGGTTTCCTTGGGGAGGACTGAGGAGGGAAACTTTCTTTTGATTGGCTATGAAATATCCAAATATTTGGATCTAATTCAAATTTCTAATTCAAATTTAAGGTAATGATTTAATCTTGATAGAGAAATTGAGATTTAGATACAATTTCTTTTTAACAACAACAAAGTCTCTACTTCATAATTTTTAGGACCAGACAAATTCTTTTTAACTTAGGACAAATTTTCAAAACCATCCCATTTTAAAATTTATTTATAAAAAACGACCCCTTTTAGACTTAATTGCAAAAACCGACCCAGTTGGTTGAAATTGGGTCGGTTTTTGAAATTTTTTTTTCAAACTTCACGGGAGTTGAACTCCCGTGAAGTTTTGTTATGAGAAAAAACTTCACGGGAGTTCAACTCCCGTGAAGTTTGGAATTTTTTTTTTTCAAAAACAGACCCAGTTTCAACCAACTAGGTCGGTTTTTGCAATTAAGTCTAAAAGGGGTCGTTTTTTATAAATAAATTTCAAAATGGGATGGTTTTGAAAATTTGTCCTTTTAACTTATAGTGTAAACGGTCGAATGCAGAGAAAACTCAATGTATCACTTCGTTAACTTGCTGTTAGAATAATTCATGTGTAAACCGACACACCTTGTTATTGAAAGTTAGAAAGTCCATTTTGAGCCTCACATTTAAAAATGTTGAGAAATTAAGCATATTGTTTTGATGGTTCTCTCTCATTTTATAGAATTAAAATGAGTGAATATGCTCTATCAATACCTCATTCAGATAAGTGCTGCGCGCAGAGCTAATTATTGATGACATCCTCTTCAAAAATTTAATTAATCTCCAGCATCCATCATGAGAAAGACAACTCTTCATTAATTAAACAAACCAACCGCCCAAAGTCACAGGCTGATATCACAACAGATAAGGAAGCGCTCTCATGGACCCTTCAAACTCTTACTCCACTTCCAGAACAATCTAATATACTCCTAAATTAAGTATTTGTTTTCATTAGTATCGAACTTTAGACTATTATAATTTGGACCCTCTCACTATAATTTATATCAACATGCCCTCAGTTGTATTGCATTAGCACTTAAAAATCAAGGCACCTCAAAAAGGTTGATTTAATTACCTGCTTTTTTCACTTGCATATCTTCAGTAGCATTCTGTTGCACTTTTATGTCCTAAAATTTTCCTGTGTTAAATTCATTAAACAATATTAATATTTGGTAAAGATGACAACTAGATAAACAACCGCATATTGTCTTTTCCAAAACAAATTTAAAAACATAAAAGTTACGAAAGGTAATAGCATGCTGTTTTATAATAAAAAAAATTAGGATGCGAAAACAGGATGAAGTACGATTGAGGATGTAAGTGAAGGATAATTGAAACCTAATGTATGTTTAATTAGAATTGTGATCTTTAATGTGAAAATATGCAAACTTTAGGTGTCAATTCAAGGAAGATATGCTAATTAGACTTTTTTTTTTATCCCATAGCTTACACCACTCCGCACTCATAGTTTTTGACATCATTTACCCGAAAGTTCTTTTAAAATTATCACGTTTCGTACCTCTTCCTGCACGCATACGTGAGAATATTGCTTCTAATGTTGCCACGTGACGATCACATGCTACTTTTAGAAATTTTTTTCATCTTTAATGCTTGGTTTGGTGAAATTTTTTTTTTCTCATCATCTTTAATGTTTGGTTTGGTGATTTACCGTTAACAAACACCAAGGTGGGGAAAAAAAGTTCTAAATTAGCATTATTACATGGGAAAATTTGGAAAAATATTTCCACTTTCCACAACAGAAGTTACTAGAGTACTATAATTTTGAAAATTGGAGGTGAAAATCAACCTTCCCATGTGATTTTTTTTTTTTTTACGGAAACCCCTCTGCGGCTATCTATCTATCTGTATCCTCTCCAAACCACATCCACTCACTTCCTTCCCCTATAAAAGCCCCTCGCCCCCCTCAAGCTCCCCACTCAACCCCAAGAGCTCCTCCACACCCTGTTAAGCTTCGATCTTCAAGAAGAGAGAGAGAGAGAGAGAGAGCTAGAGAGAGAAAGGAGAGGGGGAAAAAAAGAAAAAGAAAGACGATGGAGGGGAAGGAGGAGGATGTTCACGTAGGTGCGAACAAGTACTCGGAGAGGCAGCCCATAGGCACCTCAGCCCAAACGGACAAGGACTACAAAGAGCCGCCCCCAGCCCCCCTGTTTGAGCCCGGGGAGCTCAAGTCGTGGTCCTTCTACAGAGCAGGGATCGCTGAGTTCATCGCCACCTTCCTCTTCCTTTACATCTCCATTCTGACCGTCATGGGTGTCGTCAAGTCCCCTTCCAAGTGCTCCACCGTCGGGATTCAGGGGATCGCCTGGGCTTTTGGGGGCATGATCTTCGCTCTTGTCTACTGCACCGCTGGAATCTCTGGTTGGTCGTCCTTCTTGTTTTCCTTCTCCGCTTTTTTTTTTAAAATTTTTTTTTTAAATTTATTTGAAGTAGAATTAAAAAGCCCTTAATTATTTGTTGCAGGTGGTCACATAAACCCAGCAGTGACCTTCGGTCTCTTCTTAGCAAGAAAACTGTCCCTAACCAGGGCCATATTCTACATGGTGATGCAGTGCTTGGGTGCAATTTGTGGTGCTGGTGTGGTTAAGGGATACCAGACCGGTCTCTACGAGTCCCAGGGTGGTGGGGCCAACGTCGTGGCCCCTGGGTACACCAAGGGTGATGGTTTGGGTGCCGAGATTGTCGGCACCTTTGTTCTTGTGTACACCGTCTTCTCTGCTACTGATGCCAAGAGGAGTGCCAGAGACTCCCATGTCCCTGTAAGTGAATGTTACCGTAAGAAGCATGTGAATTAGTAAATAGTCGTGTGTCTGTGTGGCATGCCATTGACCCCATACGCATTCAAACCCTTAGATATGATCTAAATTATAGTCACGTAGATGTGCGACGCGTCAACAACACGTCTTCAGCAAAAAAAACTCATCAAACATGATATCCTGAGTATCGTTGTAATTAAAATTTATCTAGAAGGACACACGTACTTGTAAATTCTTGTCCGTATCAAAATACCAAGAGATTAAAATTAATTCATTTAGAATCAATTGAGATGGTTTAATCATGTCCGGTGAAACTCACAGTAAGCATGCCAGCTAGAAAAAGATAGATAAGATTATATAATTGATGACTTGAGAAGAATATGATTGAAAGCAAGTGAGAAGGTTAGGATATTGGCTAACTTCGTGGAGGAGATAATGCTTGATACAATTGAATGGAAGAATATGATACACGTACCCTACCCTTAAGTAACTAAGTGGAGCCGATGATTTGTATCAGAATTGAATGGAAGTATATGATTTATGTAACCGATCTCACAAATTTGGGATAAAAGCTTGATTGTGTTTGCAGTTTTGTTGATGAATTTGAGGAATTTAATATGTTTTCCCCCCTTTTGTGTGGTTTAGATTCTTGCTCCGTTGCCAATTGGGTTTGCAGTTTTCCTAGTTCATTTGGCCACTATCCCCATCACTGGCACTGGCATTAACCCAGCAAGGAGTCTTGGTGCTGCCATCATCTACAACAAGGACCATGCTTGGGATGACCATGTAAGCTCCAATAAATTTAATCATGACATATTTGGATTTTTTTTTTGGGGGGAACCAGTAGTAATTTATTTATTTTAAAAAAAATTGCAGTGGATTTTCTGGGTTGGTCCCTTCATTGGAGCTGCACTCGCTGCCATGTACCATCAAATCGTGATCAGAGCAATCCCATTCAAGAGCAGGTCTTGATTGATGATCTCAATTGTTAAATGTTCTCTGAGCGATCATATCTTGTGTCTTGTTGTTGTGGTGCTTTTATTTTCCTTATTTTTCTTTAGTATTTCTCTCTCTCTCTCTCTCTCTCTCTCTCTCTCTCTCTCTCTTCCATCATGTAATCGAATGTATTGAGTGGTTCATCAATTGTGTACATTAAACTATGTTATCTAGTATGAGTGCAGCTTGAAGTGGATGTTATTGTTTCCTAGTGTTTGTCTGGCAGAAGTTATAAAAGTTTTCTATTGCATCAAAAGTCTAAAAAAGTCTATAAAGTTAATGTGAGCGAGCATCTTATAGATGGGTTGAAATCTATGCCCGCACGCTGTTCATCTTTAAAATTTAAAATTTGTGGTTTGGTTTTAATATATCATGTCAAAGGTCACCCTGACCGTATGAGATCTCTAACTACTGATGCTCTGCCTGACCTAGGCTTGCCCCTGTAAATTAATTGATGGGCAAATTGCAAAAAAGTGAGAAACAACTATCATTACCCGTTCCTAATTAAGCCAGCAGAGGGTTATGACGCTAGCTTTACCTTCTTATTATAATTAAGAAATAGAGAAGAAGGATCAAATGATAAGGGTGATGGTGGTTGGTTTGTACAGTGAAAATGACAATGAAAATGACTAGGCATTGAGTGGAGAATTTTGGTAGGTAGCGCATGATGTCAAAAAAAAGATAAGCCCCCACCATCACATGGGTCCTTGTCGTATGGCAGCCTGGCTCTGTCTTTTTTATCTGTTGGTTGGCCCTAAAAAGTAACAAACAAAGATCCCTCTGTAGCTTGTGTTATGCTACGAAAAGAGCACATTAGAGCAAGTGCAACAATCTCCTGGTAAGCAGTTTTTGTTGGAGTGCTCTCAAGCATGGGGCCCCTTAAGAGTTAGGAGCTTCCTACTAGCACAAATATTTCAACAAACTCCTAATTAGGAGCTTAAATATTATTTAAAAAAATCTATTCTTCTACCTCTAATATTTTATAAATATATTTTAAAACAATAAATCTAATAAAAAATATTTTTTAGTGGCCCTCATCCTTAGGAGCTCCCAAGTGCTCCACAAATTTTAGGAGCTCCATGGTGGACCCCACCGCCAACTAGCACTTAGGAGCCTCGTTGGGAGCTTGTTGGAGAATGTTGGGAGCTTTTCCTTACCACATCACCCTTAAGAGTCTCCTTGGAAGGCTGGTGCACTTGCCCTTAGAGCATCTTCAAGGGTTCCTACAATGTCCTTAATTTAGGGGAATTTTAAGGGAGGGAAAGGTTCTACCCTAATGGTTCCCCTTTAAAAGTCTCCCTATCATTTAATTATTCATATTTAAGTGTTTTAATTTTGTTAATCATGATTTAATTAAGTATGTGATTTATTTATAAATGAATAAATAATTAAATATTAATAACTAAAAATAATTAATTAATTTATTTAAATTAAGAAATTACCTTATATACTCATTAAATTAATTAATCATATTAAAATTTAACAAATAATTAATTTGTATAATAATTAATTATATAAATCATTTTTAAAATTAAATATTATTTTAAATTTAAATTCATATTATTTTAATGTTAATTTTATTTAACAATAATATTTTAACGGTCATATCTCAACGGTTGTATTATAACGTTCATATTTCAACGGTCATATTTTAATGGTCATATTTCAACAGTCGTTTTTAATTAAATGTGGTCATATTTCAACGGTCATATTTTAACAGTCATGTAGACGTTAAAAATTACCTACGGGCTCTCGCACGTAGCTCGAAGCAGAGAGAAGACGATAAACGTTATTATCCAAGTTAAGAAGAATTATCTGATATCAACAAATGCATGAAGCAAGTTGACCAGACGTACAAGTCAACGAGACAGTCAAATGATGATGAAACTGTAGGATCTGAAATAGATACACTAGAACACTAGAGGGGGGGTGAATAGTATTCTATTAAAATTTATGCAAAGTAGATTATTTGCAAAGAAAAAAATACCAATCTCAGAAATTTACAAACACAAACACAAAGTTTTATACTGGTTCCACCAACCCGGTGTACATCCAGTCCCCAAGCAAATCCCGTTTGAGAGTTTTCACTATGATTTTGAATAAACTTACAAAATCAAAAGCAAACCTGACCAATTTACAAGCCCCTGCAAATTGTAACACTAATTGACAAACACCTTGCCAATTTGCACACCAATCTCTAAACCAAGAGATTAACACCTCTCACAAACCGAGAGAACTTTTAAAGCAACAATTCAATTCCTATAAGCCTTGATTTGTAGTGTAGTGTAGTAATGGCTTAGGAATGATTCTAACTTCTGTAAATTGCCTAGACAAGAATTTTAATGAGGATCAAAGGCAATTTCAGAAAACTTTTCTTTTTCTTAAAATCTGAATTTTTTAACACTTGAAGGATGCACAAATATCAAAGCTTATAGGTATGTTAATTTTGTGCATTTTTTTGAACAAATAACTTATTTATAGCCCTTGAAAATGCAAGAATTTTAACTTTAAAAACGTTTAAAAACAGCTATAAACAGTCATTAATTCAAACTTTAAAATCTAGAAAAACTGTATCTGTAGTCGACTACAAGACATAGTAGTCGACTACACTGAGTTAAATTCGATTCAGTGAATCAGAAAAATTCTTAGTAGTTGACTATAATAAGCACTAGTCGACTAGTCATATGTTTTACAGAAACATGACTGAAAATTTTATAGTCGACTATATTAAGCATTAGTCGACTAGTCGTGTGTTTTACAGAAACATGACTGAAACTTTTGTAGTCGACTATATTTAGCATTAGTCGACTAGTCATGTGTTTTACAGAAATATGACTGAAACTTTTGTAGTCGACTATTTTAAGCATTAGTCGACTATATCTGAGTTTTTCAAAAAAAATGTAATGTATAAAAAGATTTGACACTCAAATATTAATTATAAACTCTAATGGTTAATATAGGAGATTTCTATAATTAACCAACACACTAAGCCTGTGTTAGTGTGTTCTAATATTTATGTGTGTGTGTGTGTGTGAGTGATCAAGGCTTGTACAATAATTCTAAGTAAAGAAAATATAAAATACATTATCTCATATGTTCTTCATCTTCTTCAATTCATAATGCCTTGAACTCAACTTGCATTTGTTCATATTTTGATATTGAAAGCTGCATATAAATGTTAGTACAATTGTATAACACACATTGTATAAATTGTTATCATTAAAATAATATCATGGAGACTTGATATTCAACATTATCCCCCCTTTTTGATGATGGCAAACAATTTATGCATATGGAAATAAACATACTTACTCCCCCTGCATATATGCATATTAGAGTCTATAACATTACATGAGTCTAATATTTATACCATTTCTCCCCATTTGTTATCAACAAAAAGAGATAAACATTTATGCTAAACATGATATTATTTCTTCAATATAAGCTAATACTTCAAACAAATCATCCAGATTATGAACATAGTCCATAACTTTACCCATCCAAATAGGTAGGCAAAGACTTGCCATAAAGAGCAAAAGTTTCACAATGTTCATCACCATAATCTGTTTACAATATATAGCACATATATTAACTATCCAAAAAACACCATAGTAATGTAAACACATAATCAACATACTTAACATAGTAGCAACATAACACATTACATATGTCTTAATACCAACCCACAACTACATAGTTTTTGATACTTAAACATAGATAACTAACAAAAAAACATAATTATTTTGAAACTAAATATAAAACATCCAAATCTAATATGATGCATGCATAGACTTCTAAGGTGCTAGAGGAGGTTGATGTCCTTGGAAGAATGTACTAAGCTTCGTGTCCAAGTCATCGAACTTCTTGATTAGCTCTTCTTGATTACTAATAATATAGGAATTCTGAGAATATAGAGCTCTTTGACCAGTTTCAAGTTCAAGAATACGTGCAGATAGTGTGTTGTATTGTACATTTGAAAAATATAAAGGTTCTGAAGGAAATGGTGGTGGTGGTTGACTAGATGAGGTTCCGGCTTGATGAGATGATTGAGGTATATCATGTTGTTATTGTTCTTGAGTAGGTGGAGGCTCATCATGAGGATTTTGATCACGAATTTCAAAATTAGTTAACTTCATTCTTGTAAGAGCATTGGAGTCAAAAAATCCGACGGTTCGAACAACCGATTTTTCAGAAGCTAGATCGACATTGAATTTTTCAAAGACTTTTGTTAAGAAAGCACCATAAGGAAGAGATCCTTTTGGTATAGCTAACAGAATTTTATAATAAACGGCAGCCCAATTTACTTGAATATTTCCCATAATAGCATAAAGAGCTTTTGCTAACATAATAAACGGCAGCCCAATTTACTTGAATATTTCCCATAATAGCATAAAGAGCTTTTGCTAAATCTATGGAAAGGAAGAATATTTCCCATAATAGCATAAAGAGCTTTTGCTAAATCTATGGAAAGGAAATGAAAGCTCCCCGTTTTAGGAAACATGTTATATACTAGGATTCTAGCAATGAAACGAGGAATTAGACGGAGTTTATTTGAATTGTTTTATGGTTTTCCATAACCCGAAAGAAAGATATGATTAGATAATAAATATTCATTGTAGGCGTCAAAAAATGCTGATAGATATCCAAATACAGCTCAAAACAACGAGAAGATCAGCCAAAGATCACAAAAAATAACTTTATGCTGTCTCGAAATGATCAAGACAGTGTAGACTGTCTCACACGCGAGACAGTGTCAACTGTCTCGCAGTGCAAGACAATGATGATTGTCTCGTAATGCGAGACAATATAGACTATCTTGCTGTGCGAGACAATGTCTACTGTCTCGCAATGCAAGATAGTGTTGACTGTCTCGCACGTGAGACAATGTAGAGCTCTGAAATGATCAAAAGCTGCTGAAATAACTGCATGACACGTGTCCATTAACTGTCAAAGAACGTGGGAAACATCGTGGGCGAGAATCACGTGGACAACTGTCAAAATAACGGATTTTAGAACATGATAAACCGGTTATAGAAGAAAATGACAGGCAGTAAGACAGTCATGGCTGTCTCGGAAGCCGAGACAGTCATAACTGTCTCGGTCGCCGAGACAGACAACACTGTCTCGCAAGCCAAAATGTCCCAAGATGTTCTATTTTTCAGTTAAACTTTCCAGGGGCTATAAATACCCCCCTAGGATCATTTCTGA